AACCAGTTGGAGAAGATTTCAGCTTTATGACATGGTGCATTATCCTGCTGGAAGGAGCCATCAGAAGATGGGGACACCGGAGTCATAAAGGGATGGACGTGGTGAGAACTGCCTTCATTCTTTGTGGCATAGATTCAACAAGGTGTTGAAAACATTCCTCAGAGATTTTGGTCCATATTGACATGATCGCTTTACGCAGTTGCTGCAGATTTGTTGGTTGCACATCCATAAAGCGAATCTCCCATTCCACCACATCCCAAAGGTGCTCTATTGGATTGAGATCCGGTGACTGTGGAGGCCATTGGAGAACAGTGATCTCATTGTCATGTTCAGGATACCAGTTGGAGATGATTTGAGCTTTGTGACATGGTGCGTTATCCTGCTGGAAGGAGCCATCAGAAGGTGGAGACACTGTAGTCATAAAGGAATGAGCATGGTCAGAATTGCCTTCATTCTTCGTGGCATAGATTCAACAAGGTGTTGGAAACATTCCTCAGAGATTTTGGTCCATATTAACATGATAGCATCACACAGTTGCTGCTGATTTGTCGGCTGCACATCCATGATGTGAATCTCCCGTTCCCCCACATCCCAAAGATGCTCTATTGGATTGAGATCTGGTGACTGTGGAGGCCATTGGAGTGCAGTGACCTCATTGTCATGTTCAAGAAACCAGTTGGAGATAATTTGAGCTTTGTGACAGGATGTGTTATCCTGCTGGAAGGAGCCATCAGAAGATGGGGACACTGGAGTCATAAAGTGATGGACATGGTCAGCAACAATACTCAGGCCATGACATAAAAACAATATTCAGTTGGTACTAAGGGGCCCAAAGAGTGCCAAGAAAATCTCCCCCACACCATTCCACCACCACCACCACTAGCCTGAACCGTTGATTCAAGGCGGGATGGATCCATGCTTTTATGTTGTTTACATAAAATTCTGACCCTACCATCTGAATGTCGCAACTGAAAACGAGACTCATCAGATCAGGCAACGTTTTTCCAATCTTCTATTGTCCAATTTTGGTGAGCCTTTGCAAATTGTAGCCTCAGTTTCCTGTTCTTAGCTGACAGGAGTAGCATCTGGTGTGGTCTTCTGCTGCTGTAGCATATCTGCTTCAAGGTTCGACATGTGCATTCAGAGATGGTATTCTGCATACCTTGGTTGTAATGAGTGGTTATTTGAGTTACTGTTGCCTTTCTATTATCTTGAACCAGTCTGCCCATTCTCTTCTGACCTCTGACCTCAACAAGGCATTTTCGTTCACACGACTGCCACTCACTGTACACTTTCTCTTTTTTGGACCATGCTCTGTAAATCCTAGAGATGGTTATGCGTGAAAATCCCAGTAGATCATCAGTTTTTGAAATACTCAGACCAGCCCGTCTGGCACCAACAACCATGCCATGTTCAAAGTCACCTAAATCCCCTTTCTTCCCCATTCTGATTCTCAGTTTGAACTTCAGCAAGTCCTGTTCACCACGTCTAGATGCCTAAATGCATTAAGTTGCTGCCACATGATTGGCTGATTAGCAATTTGTAAACCATGAAGGCACCATCACATGGAAGGTCAGTTAGTAACATTGGGAAAATGCCTCTTACATTGGAGGTGGTGAGTGGGAAGAATGCCTCCCTTACAGCGCCGATCAAAATACCGGTCATATAGTTATGGATCTGGCTCTGCCAATTGGTGTTAGACAAGAACCATGAAGGCACCGACACATGGACGGTCAGTTAGCAACTTTGGGAAAATGCCTCTCACATTGGTGGTGGTGAGTGGGAAGAATGCTCTCCTTACAGTGGTGGTCAGAATAGCAGTCATACAGTCATGGCTCTGGCTCGGCCAATTGGTGTTGGACCTGGAACCATGAAGGCACCATCACATGGAAGGTCAGTTAGTAACATTGGGAAAATGCCGCTTACATTGGTGGTGATGAGTGGGAAGAATGTCCCCGTTACAGTGTTGATCAAAATGCCGGTCATATAGTCATGTCTCTGGGTCTGCCAATTGGTGTTGAACCTGGAACCATGAAGGCAACATCACATGGAAGGTCAGTTAGCAACTTTGGGAAAATGCCTCTCACATTGGGGGTGGTGAGTGGGAAGAATGCTCCCCATACGGTGTTGACCAAAATATCACTCATAGTTATAGATCTGGCTCTGCCAATTGGTGTTGGACCTGGAACCATGAAGGCACCATCACATGGAAGTTCAGTTAGCAACATTGGGAAAATGCCTTTTACATTGGTGGTGGTGAGTGGGAAGAATGCTCCCCATACGGTGTTGACCAAAATGTCACTCATATAGACATCCTTGTCCTCATAAAACCAATAGAAAATGGAATTCTAGAGTACACAGATGCCTATTGTCAGTACCAAAGACCTGCTGTTTCACTTCTTCCAGTGAAAGGGAAGGTCTCATGATTTCACTTTGTTTGGGGCAAAATTATGGATAGGTCTGTTCAACAAAAGAGAGATGTAATTAAAGAGAGGAAATGAAATCGGGGCAAGTCTTGTCTTGGTTCAGTTTCATTCGGTAGATATTTTGGCTTTGATTTCGGATAATGCCTTGTAAAACATGACATAATTACTTTCGTTTGCATGCAGCAATTGTGGAATTACATACCAGGAACAAAAACACTTTGTTTAGACCTGCGGTCTTCAAACAACTTTTTTTTTCATAAAAAAAACCTGAATATCATAATACGGTGTGCATGTCTGTGTATATATATATATATATATATATATATACATACATATATACAGTATATACATATATATTGGAATGCCTGCCTTTACACACACACACATAACCTGGTCTTAGTCCTTAGGGTTCAATATTGGGTTGGCCCCTCCCTTTGCAGCTATAACAGCTTCAATTCTTCTGGGAAGGCCGTCCACAAGGTTTAGGAGGGTGTCTATGAAGAAGTTGGACCATTCTTCCAGAAGCACATTTGTCAGGTCAGGCACTGATGTCGGGGGAGGAGGCCTGGCTCGCAGTCTCCGCTTTAATTCATCCCAAAGGTGTTCTATGGGGTTGAGGTCAGGACTCTATGCAGGCCAGTCAAGTTCCTCCACCCCAAACTGGCTCCTCCATGTCTTTATGGACCTTGCTTTGTGCACTGGTGGGCAGTCATGTTGGAACAGGAAGGGGCCATCCGCAAACTCTTCCCACAAAGTTAAGAGCATGAAATTGTCCAAAATGTCTTGGTATGCTGATGACTTAAAGCTCCCTTCACTGGAACCAAGGGGACAAGCCCAACCCCTGAAAAACAACCCCACACCATAATCTCCACTGTTCTAGAGTCCAGTGGCGGCATGCTTTACACCACTGCATCCGACACTTTGCATTGCACTTGGTGATGGAAGGCTTGGATGCAGCTGCTCGGCCATGGAAACCCATTCCATGAAGCTCTCTACGCACTGTTGTTGGGCTCATCTGAAGGCCACATGAAGTTTGGAGGTCTTTAGTTATTGACTCCGCAGACAGTTGGCGACTTCTGCGCACTGTGCGCTTCAGCATGCGCTGACCTCGCTCTGTCATGTGACGTTGCCTACCACTTGGTGGCTGAGTTGCTGTTGTTCCCAGTGGCTTCCACTTTGTTATAATCCCACTAACAGTTGAGCGTGGAATATTTAGTAGCCAGGAAATGTCACGGATGGACTTATTGCACAGGTGGCCACCTATCACAGGACCACGCTTGGAGTCACTGAGCTCCTGAGAGCGATCCATTCTTTCACCAATGTTTGTAGAAGCAGTCTACTTGCCTCAGGGCTTGGTTTTATACATCTCTGTCCATGGAGGGGATTGGAACACCTGAATCACATGATTGGGAGGGCGGGGACAATACGTTTGGCAATATAGTGTATTAATACAGGGTCACCATTAGAATTAATTTTTATGCCCCTGTAGGTGGGGGGCCCTGACAGGTAACCTGTATGCCCCCCACCTACAGGGGCATACAAATTTGAAGGCACCTTTGAGTAGCCAGAGGATAAAAATGAGGCAGTATGCACAGCACACCACCGCGAAATGTGGATGCGAGAAAATTGTGCAAATAGTAGACGTGAAACTACATACAGAGTGCAGGGGTCAGTACTGTGTAAAGTACAGAGTGCAGGCATCAGGTGTATGTAATGCACATAGTTTAGGGTCCAGTGCAGGGGCAGACTGACCATTTGAAAACTCGGGCACTGCCCAAGGGCCCGGGGGTCAGTAGGAGGCCCCATGAGATGCCCCTGGTACCTTTTTCATAGGCTTTTTTGAGTTTGAGCAAGGAGACAGGGGCCCCATGATCCCCCCTTGTCAGTCTGCCCCTGGTCCAGTGTATGTAATGTACATACTGGAGGGGTCAAGTTTATGTAAAGTAAACTAGTGCAAGGCTCAAGTGTATGTAAACCAAACAGTTCAGGGGTCAGGAGTATGTAATGTATGCTAAAGCGGTATTAAACGCAAAAACAAAAGCAATTCTTAGCTGTGGAGGCTGCATTCGTTTTCTTTTTTTTTTTTAAACAAGAAACATTTTCAGCAAATACAGAAAATGCCTGTTGATCTTGCCAAAAATGCAGGGTCCTTCTCACTTCCTGAGGGCTGTTCTGAAGAAAATCTTCCTTTCTTGCTATCTTCTGTAAACCACTAAATACCCTGACCACCATGTAATGGAAGCAATACAGACATGTTTGTAGATAATATCAAGAGGGTAGCCTAGGGTGACAACCATGGCTCCGTACGCAGATACATTGGAGGGGTGATGTAGCCACCAAGAGACAGGAAGTGTATTATTTGCAGGATTACCAGGTGAAAGCTAAAAGAAAAAAACCTGTAAAAGAAAACTATTGCTGCTACCACACCAAGGACTAGTAAGCTGCAATATATTACATTGATATTGGGTTTTGGTATGCTTTAGGTTTGCACTTTATATTTTGCACTAACAGTTCATAAGAGAGGAAATATCAACTGGAGAGGAAAGAACGAGAGGACGAACAATAAAACTTAAGGAGAAGCTAAGGGGCGGACTGACCATTTGGAAACTCGGGCACTACCCGAGGGCCTGGGGTCAGTAGGGGGCCCCATGAGATGCCCCTGGTACCTTTTTCATAAGCTTTTTTCAGTTTGGCAAGGACACAGGGGCCCCATGATCCCCTATTGCCCGGGGGCCCCATGAGTTGTCAGTCCACCCCTGGAGAAGCTCATCTTCCAGTATTTTAAGAGGCCAAAAACCACCCAGGAAGATGAAGTTGAACCTGAAGTATCCACAGAACCAGAAATAGAAGTCAGGTCAGACATACCTGAGGGTCAATCCTAGAGTTGTGAGTTGATGGCTGAAGATCTGTAAGAAGATGGAAATACCTTCCTTTGAAAGGCCAGACTGCCCCACTGGGAGTGTTTTTCCCTGAAGAAAGTGGGGGGAATTCATAAAGGGTGTGGTAGACACTCTTAGGAATTTTCTTGGACCCTGCACGGAAAGTGTTTGTACCTGCGTCCAGAGAGGCACATGGCCGAAGAGTTTTGATGTAGGGGTTGGCTGAGCCTGATGTTGAACTGAGAGACTAGTTCACGGTAGATCCACCCTACATTTGATTGACAGTGCATGGCGCTGGGCTAGATCATAGCTGCTTTTCAGCCCAACAGTAGGGTTCTGCACTGTCAATGAAAACCAAGATACCCCTTCAGGCTCCACCCACCCACTAGCTTTGACCTCTTTGTTTACATCTAGTGTTCCTAAATACGGGTTTACCATGGTTCAAAAGGTGCAATTGGCCTTTAACTACCACCGCTTTCCTAATCCGGGAACTGGCGATAATTCTTTAAATCAGAACTAAGCCCATTGATATAACAGTTTGCTAAAACAACTACATTGAAGGCATCAAAGCAAAGATGAGAGCACCGCTCAAAGCTCACATTTGTACAATCTGGTGATTCCACACATACTGATGGGTGCAGCTCCAAAGGGGCCCAGCTCTCCCAAATGGATGGACAACAAACAGAAATAGGAGCGCATGCGAAAGCCACCCGATTCTAAGACTTTCAAATTGGTTTCAACTTTGCCTCCTCCCAGGCCATGCCCCGCTAACGCGTTTCATCCAATCCTGGGCTTATCCATACAACTAAGCTCAGGAGTGGGTGAAACGTATTAGAGGGGTGTGGTCTGGGAGGAGGCAAAGCTGAAGTCTGTTTTAGAGTCTTAGAACCGGGCGGCTTTGGCGTGCACTCCTATTTCTGTTGGTTGTTAACGTATTCAAGGCATGCCATGCATGATTACTGTCAAGCCATCAAATGGCTGGTGTCATAAATTATTATTATTATACAGGATTTTTATCGCGCCAACAGTTTGCTCAGCGCTTTTCAATATAACGGGAGACAATACAGCAACAATACAGTTCAATACAAGAGGGATAGGAGGGCCTGATCCTAGGAGCTTACAATCTAGCATCTCATGTACAGCACAATGGCAACTGCAGATCAAACAGAAGCTAAGATGGCCGCTTCTTTGGCTGTAAAGGATGGTAGGGTTTAATTCCACTTTACGAGTCTGCTGTAGTGACAGGTTCTTAAAGCGAGTTCCACTCACCTGTCAAAAAATAAAAGTTAGCAGCTACAAAAACTGTAGCTGCTGACTTTTAAAATACAGCCACTTACCTGTCCCTCCGTCCTGCGGTGTCCTCACCACCGCTGGTTTCACCGGCCATCTTCTCTCCCTGGTGCTGGCATCTTCAGTGTGGTCACCCGGCTGTGACAGCTTGCGGCTTCACAGCCGGGTGCCCAGTGCGCATACACGAGAATCACTGAGCTTTGTGAATGGACCCGTAGTCTTCTGGAACCTGTCACGTGTCCCAGAAGACTACGAGGAGGGAGGACAACGTCCGATTCTGATCGCCTAGGACGGGTGTCGGCAACCCGCGGCTCCAGAGCCGCATGCGGCTCCTTTTCACCTTTGCTGCGGCTCCGGAGCACACTGCCCACCAGGTGACAGGCAATAGGGTTGCCGTAGCTCAGTGGTCAGCAAGCCGCGGCTATTTACACACATTAATGCGGCTCTTCTGTGTGCCGGGCGCCGCCCCGCTCCCCTCCCTCCTCTCGGGCGGCCGCCCCAAAAGTCAGGACTCTGCAGCTAGCCCAGCAATGGGCAAACTACGGCCCCGCGGACCTTTTAATCCGGCCCGCGGACTGTCAGGATGTAGGCGGGGCAGCGTGACGAACTCCTCTCCTCTCACAGTCCGCCCTGAAGACCGGAACGGCGCGGGAACACGGCGAGAGGAACGCGCGGAGCAAAGGTAAGTGAATTGATACAATATGGGGAATGAATTACTATAGGGGGGATGAATTACTATATGGGGGGATGAATTACTATGGGGGATGAATTACTATATGGGGGATGAATTACTATATGGGGGATGAATTACTATGGAGGATGAATTACTATATGGGGATGAATTACTATATGGGGGATGAATTACTATATGGGGGATGAATTACTATATGGGGGATGAATTACTATGGAGGATGAATTACTATATGGGGGATGAATTACTATATGGGGGATGAATTACTATATGGGGGATGAATTACTATATGGGGGATGAATTACTATATGGGGGATGAATTACTATATGGGGGATGAATTACTATATGGGGGATGAATTACTATGGGGGATGAATTACTATATGGGGGATGAATTACTATATGGGGGATGAATTACTATATGGGGGATGTATTTTCAGTTTTAAAAATGTGGCTCTCAAAATAAATTTCAATCGTGGTTTTGGCGAGATTTGGCTCAGTTGAAAAAAAAGGTTGCCCACCACTGACCTAAGGCTATGATTGTGATTATGACGATACACTGTGGCCCTGATTAACCCTTTGCTTACTGGGCCCTTAAACCCCCTTCATGACCAGAGCGCTTTTTGCAATATATGCAGTGTCGGATTTGTTTTAAATGTTGCAATGGTTTTGCGGCTCCCAGTCTTTTTTTTCCCTCTCGGAAACGGATCCAAGTGGCTCTTTATGTCTTAAAGGTTGCAGACCCCTGGCCTAGGAGATCGCAGTGGAAGTGGGAGCGGGTATGTGTCAAATTCAAGTACCCGTTCCCCAAAGGTGCCAATCCTTAATGGGCAGCATGGGACAAAACCTTAAAGCGGAACTTCCCTTTTTGGGTGGCGCTCCACTTTAAGCATGCTCTCCCCAGAAGAGAACTTTACCTTTCCAGTTACCAGATGCCATGGACAGTACTCAGTACCTATTGCAATGTCTCCAAATAAAGCCCTTACAGCCAGGGACTATCGGATTCTCAATACCTCTTGGTCCCTTGTGGCTCCTGCAGTGCTGTGATGCATCCACAAAGGTGATCTCTGTACGGTTCCAGCAACACATAGCTCGGAAAACATTCCTGTATTTATCACGGGGATATATACAAAGAAATATCTGCTGGGGTGGACATAGGCAAGCCTAGCTGTAAATCTCCACAAGTCACTTCTGGCAAGAACATGTAATGACACAATGCGAGCGCGTATGTTTCCATAACAGTCCTCCTGGGTTTATGTTGGGTTGTAACTCGATGCGGGCAACAGAAAAACCAGAATTAGAAAGCCCTTATCTAATTGGTATTTTTATGACACTATGCCTTGACGTAAGCCCTCGTTACTGAGTGCTGAGTGCAGTGCAGGTTTCAAATGGTGCGGGGTGAAGCCATCGCAGCCAGGACCAATATTTATTTATATATAGAAAGAATGCAGCCTATCAATTTCCCATGAAAACGTTTATTTTGAGCCAATTCACCAACCGTGGTATATTAAGGGAGGGAATGCTGTAGTCTGGGGTCCTCATCAATATATCATCAAGGGCACTTTAAAGCGCAAGAAGTAAAAACGTTTAGTGAACTATTAATGGGATCTACATGATGGCTGTGCTCCTTTTATTTATTGTCATATAAATCGCAGTTGCAAAATAACACAGATGTGATTTAAAGGAAAACTCCAGGCATGGATGAAGTAGGGATATGACCTCCCATTAAAAAAAAAAAAAAATGTGCTGCAGAGCCTAATTTCTCGTCGTTTCCCTGCAAATTGCCACAAACACCTGTTGATCCAGCAAGTGAAGTCCACCCAAACAACTTCCGGCGATGGGGTGGTAATGATGCTGCACTGCTCCTGAATTCAGAGCAGTGTTGTCACTCTCATGTAGGCTGTGCCTGTGTCAGGACCAGGATCTGAATCCACAACCTCTGCTGCATCTGGCATTAGCTCTTCTTGGTAAGCCACCTAAGATACTGGACAGGACCTTGTCTGATCCTTTGGAAATCTTGCATTGTACTTTGTTTCTGGTGAACTTTGAACTCCATGCTCCTCCTATGAACTTCCTTTTTAAACCATGCCTCCTGTTTGCCAGATTATTGAGCTCTTCTCCAGCCAATATCTCGCTCTTTTCTCTCCTGCTGCCAACTGTATCTTCACTACCACTCGTTACTGACCTTTGGCTTGTTCCTCGACTACGTTCCCGCTCGATTCCAACCTACAATCTGTCGTTACTGACCTTTGGCTTGCTCCTCGACTACGTTTCTGCTCGATTCCAACCTACAACCTCTTGTTACTGACCTTTGGCTTGTTCCTCGACTACGTTCCCGCTCGATTCCAACCTACAATCTCTTGTTACTGACCCTGGCTTCTTCCTCCACTACGTTCCCGCTCAATTCCAACCTACAACCTCTCGTTACTGACCTTTGGCTTGTTCCTCGATTACATTTCCACTTGATTCCAACCTACAATCTCTCGTTACTAAACTGGTCTTGTTCCTCGACCACGTTCCCGCTCGATTCCAATCTACAACTTCTCGTTACTGACTTTTGGCTTGTTCCTCGATTACATTTCCACTTGATTCCAACCTACAATCTCTCGTTACTAAACTGGTCTTGTTCCTCGACCACGTTCCCGCTCGATTCCAGCCTACAATCTCTCGTTACTGACCTTTGGCTTGTGCCCTTCAGTGCTGCATATTAGTGCCCATCAGAGCCACGTATCAGTGCCACCTCATCAGTGCCTCCTCACCAGTGCCCATCAGTGCTGCCCATCAGTGCCACCTCATCAGTGCCTCCTCACCAGTGCTGCCTATCAGTGCCTCCTCACCAATGCCCATCAGTGCTGCCTATCAGTGCCCATAAGTGCTGCCTCACCAATGCCCTTCAGTGCTGCCCAGGGGCGGACTGACAACTCATGGGGCCCCCGGGCAATAGGGGATCATGGGGCCCCTGTGTCCTTCCCCAAACTAAAAAAAAAAACCTATGAAAAAGGTACCAGGGGCATCTCATGGGGCCCCCTACTGACCTCGGGCAGTGCCCAAGTTTCCAAATGGTCAGTCCGCCCCTAACACTGCTGCCTATCAGTGCCACTTATCAATGCCTCCTCACCAATGCCCATCAGTGCTGCCTATCAGTGCAGCCTTATCAAAGCACATCAGTGAAGAAGAAAAATTACCGGTTTGCAATTTTTTTTTTTCAGTTTTCTGTCTTTTTCCGTTTGTCTGGCAAAAAAAAATAAAACACCGAGTGCTGCTTACCACCAAAAGAAAGCTCTGTTTGTGTGAAAAAAAAAATGATTAAAAATGTCATATGGGTACAGTGTTGCATGACCGCGCAATTGTCATTCAAAATGCGACGGCGCTGAAAGCTGAAAATTGGCCTGGGCAGGAAAGAAGTGAAAGTGTCCGGTAGGCGAGGGGTTAAAGATCTCATCTCGAAAGTACGTTTTGCAATATATCTTTGTTACGTAATAATCATTTGTAGTCTGAATAGCTGTGGTTATGGATGGGGGTATGATGTTCTTCGCCTCCATACTTTGGGATGAAAAGGTGCTGCTGAGGGTTTCGGAACACCCGAAGCATTACAAAAAAAAATAAATAAATTCAGGAACAGAAGTTACTATATTTCAGTTTTGACAGATTTCTTTTAAGCAAATATAATGAGTAAAAGTGGGTGAGGATCTATTTAATGGACGCCAGTCATACATGGACATTCATTGATTGACGGCTTCCAGAGACGGTAATGGCTGATCGTTATATGACTGATGGAATCATAAAATTTATAGCCAAATTCAGCTCCTGTTGTAAACGTTGTGCTCTACTCCGCAGTGCTTTTGATGGGAAATCTGTCAGGATAGAGAGAGTAAAAAAAAAAAAAGATGAAATAAAGTCCTGGTTACATTTAACTGCCAGCCATCGACTCTCGAAACTGCACCCATGGGGGGGGGGGGGGGGGGGGGACTCTTCTAGCGGGGTCCCCGGGGACGGCTCACCATATGTCGCTGTTTATCTCTGCTGGGTTTACTTCTGATAACCTGCAAAGGGATGTTCCATGGCAAACCTAATTATTACAAAGTGATGCTTTCCTGAGACTGGTTAATATATAGCATCTCCCAGAATAAACAGGCTGTGCTTGGGATTTGTGGTCCCACAGAAGCTGGAGAGTCTTGTGCTTGTCTACCTGCTAGATTAGTCGCCCAAAAACGTAAAACTTTAACATGGGCTTTTCGATATCTATAGTCTGTATACAGGGGCGGACTGACAACTCATGGGGCCCCCGGGAAATAGGGGATCATGGGGCCCGTGTCCTCGACCACACCCAAAAAAGCCTATGAAAAAGCCAATGCAAGTACCAGGGGCATCTCATGGGGCCCCCTATTGACCCCGGGCCATGCCCGAGTGTTTGAATGGTCAGTCCGCCTCTGCCCCTGCACCTGACGTGAGACAATATACAGCAGGGGTGTCAAACTGGCGGCCCTCCAGCTGTTGCCAAACTACAGGTCCCATCATGCCTCTGCCTTTGGGAGTCATGCTTGTAACTGTCAATCTTGTGATGCCTCATGGGACTTGTAGTTTGGTAACAGCTGGAGGGAAGCTGGTTTGACACCCAAGTCCCATCATGCCTCTGCCCTTGGGAGTCATGCTTGTAACTGTCAATCTTGCGATGCCTCATGGGACTTGTAGTTTGGCAACAGCTGGAGGGAAGCTGGTTTGACACCCAAGTCCCATCATGCCTCTGCCTTTGGGAGACATGCTTGTAACTGTCAATCTTGCGATGCCTCGTGGGACTTGTAGTTTGGCAACAGCTGGAGGGCCGCTAGTTTGACACCCGTGATATACAGCAAGGGTGTAACTACAGCAGAACTACGTGGCATCCGAGGACCACGAACCAAAACCGCTAATTAGAGTGGAACATTAGGCCGAAATGAAAAATGGATGAACGGGCAGGAGTTTTAATGCAGAAGCAGGAGCGGACTGACCATTCGAACACTCGGGCACTGCCCGAGGGCCCGGGGTCAGTAGGGGGCCCCATGAGATGCCCCTGGTACCTTTTTCATAGGCTTTTTTGAGTTTGGGCAAGGACACAGGGGCCCCATGATCCCCTATTGCCCCTGGGGGAGAGTTACTGAAACTGGAGAGCTTAGAATCTAGGGCAGCTGTGTATAGGAGCCAATCAGCTTCTCACTTCAGCTTGGACAGTTAAGCTTTGGCAATAAATCCTGAAAGCGGATTGGTTTCTATGCAGAGCTGCACCAGATTTTGCACCCTCCAGGTTTAGTAAATCAACCCTAAGGCATCCACCTGCAGAGCATTGACAATCCTTCTGCTGAGATCCTGAAATATTTGAGAATCCCACATCTCAAAGGACTATGCACTATACTCCAGCATCATCTTCTGAGATTTTCCAAAGCATTCGCCAGGTTCCCACTGGAAAGATAGTGTCTTCACCCGCTGTAGTGCAGGGGCCCTGGGTAGGCTAAAGTGCCTGCTCTGACCTCTGACCCTGAGCCGCCTGCCCAGACTTTAGGCTTGTTTGTCGATCCTGTGCTGCCTGCCTTCAGGCTTGCCTGTTGAGGTCTAATCCTGTGCCACCAACCATAACCTCTGGCTTGCCTGCCATCTTCTGATCCTGGCCTGCCTGCCTTGACCTGACCTCTGGCTTCTTTATTGTCTTCTGCCTGCCCTCTAGCTTGTATGTTCAGGTCTAATTCTGTGCCACCTACCTTGACTTCTGGCTTGTCTACTAACCTCTAATCATATGCTGCCTGCCCTGACCTCTGTCTTCTCTAGTGTCTTCTGATCCGGTGCTACCTGCGTTCTGGCTTCTCTACAGGTCTAATCCTGTGCCTTCTGCCTTGACCTCTGGCTTGTCTGCCAACCTCTGATCCTGTGCTGCCTGCCCGCACCTCTGGCTTCTCTAGTGTATTCTCATCCTGTGCTGCCTGACCTCTGGCTTGTATTTTCAAATCTAGTCTTGTTCCATCTGACCTGACCTCTGGCTTGTCTACTAACCTCTAATCCTGTGCCTTCTGCCTTGACCTCTGGCTTGTCTGTTGACCACTGATCTGTGCTGCCTGCCTGGATCTCTGATTTCTTGACTATCTTTTGATCCTGTGATGCCTGCTCTCTGACTTGTCAGTTGGTCTAATCCTGTGCCAGCTGCCCTGACCTTTGACATGGCTGCTGAAATCTAATACTGGGCTGCCTGCATTGACCTCTGGCTTCTCTACGGTCTTCTGATCCTTACCGCCAACCTCCGATCCTGTTCAGCCTGCCCTCACCTCTGGCTTGTATTCCAACCACCAATCCTGTCCTGCCTGCCCTCATTTCTAGTTTGCATGCCAACCACCGATCCTGTGCAGCCTGCCCTCACCTCTGGTTTCTATACCACCCACCGATCCTGTGCTGGCTGCCCTCACCTCTGGCTTGTATGCCAACCACCGATCCTGTGCTGCCTGCCCTCACCTCTGGCTTGTATGCCAACCACCGATCCTTTTCTGCCTGCCCTCACCCTCTGGCTTGTACGCCAACCACCGGTCCTTTTCTGCCTGCCCTCACCTCTGGCTTGTACGCCAACCACCGGTCCTTTTTTGCCTGCCCTCACCTCTGGCTTGTACGCCAACCACCGGTCCTTTTTTGCCTGCCCTCACCTCTGGCTTGTACGCCAACCACCGATCCTGTCCTGCCTGCCCTCACCCTCTGGCTTGTACGCCCAACCACCGATCCTGTTCTGCCTGCCCTCACCTCTGGCTTGTACGCCAACCACCGATCCTTTTCTGCCTGCCCTCACCTCTGGCTTGTACACCAACCACCGATCCTGTCCTGCCTGCCCTCACCCTGTGGCTTGTACGCCAACCACCGATCCTGTTCTGCCTGCCCTCACCCTGTGGCTTGTACGCCAACCACCGATCCTGTTCTGCCTGCCCTCACCCTCTGGCTTGTACGCCAACCACCGATCCTGTTCTGCCTGCCCTCACCCTCTGGCTTGTACGCCAACCACTGATCCTGCACTGCCTGCCCTCACCTCTGACTTACCTGCCAACCTCTGATCTGTAGATCATACTGCAGACACCATCTTGTTGAACCATTTGCTGACATTGACATGAAATTGCGAGACATTATGTTGCAAACAATGGTCTCAGGCAAGCCTATCTACCATGGAACTGTCCACTTTCAGAGACATCTAGATTTTTTTTTTTAGTTGAAAAACCCAAATGTACAGATTATGGATTTACACTCTTTGGGAAGCACGGCCCTTTGGTAGACACTTGTGTTTGTGCCCGTGCGCCATCGCTTTGCTCTGGCGAAGGAGGAATAATAGGCTGTTTATGGGAAGGGAAAGTATCGGGAGGATGGAGAGCTGGTGTCTCCTTCCTCACAAACAGAAAGAAGTGCTCAGTTGTGTAACAAGTCACTTGGCCGCGGTGAACGCCCACTAAGCACCGCGTCAGCCAAGTAACATAGGTGACAGCGAATGACCCCCTTCATCTTACATGACAGCGGCACCTCCTGAGGAAGTGTCGCTGAGCACTGGATAATGAAATGATCAGGAATGTCAGATCATGCCTCGTGCTTTCATCTCTTTACACAATCATCCAAACGACGCCAACATCTGGATCACGGAACACGCATCATACCCTTCCAAAACTTCTTGGCAGAGCCGGGGAAAGCGCTTTGTCGGATAAATTTCTGCTGCAAGCAAACGGGTTATTTTGGGAGCCCGTGTTATTTACAAGAATCCCTAAAGCTGAACTCCAGGCAAATACATATAAAAGACTCAAATTAATGCAGCTCTGTAATCTCTAGAAGGTTAATACATGTATTTCTTAATGCAGGCAGGGTGAGTACCTGAATCTGACCCAGTTCCAGCCTCTTAGAATCTC